CACCCGGACCTGTGCATCCTGTCCCATGGGCCGCAAATCAGGCTGAACCTGCAGGCCCGAGTGACCGGGTCTCGCCAACGGAAGCAAGAAGCTGAGCGGCTCCTGGGTGCTGCTGGAGGGGATGGGGCCTGTGGGTGGGGCCAGAGGAGCAGGACTTGTCATCGACGCGAGGGACGCGGTGTGGGTGTAGTTTCCCGACGCAGAGAAGGCCAGGTTGCGGGTGGAGAGGGACGGGGCTTGTGACGAGGGTGTGGCACCCTGGTGCACTCAGAGGTGGGGCTTGCGGCTGGGGATGGGGCAGCGGCTTCTGAGGTAAATAAGGGGCAGGGACCCTGTAGGAGTGTGGCCCTCCTGGGCAGAGAGGCATTTTATAGCCTACGTGGGCGGGGTTTCGTGTCGTATGGGGGCGGAGCTTGTGGTGGGCGTGGAGATCCCGGGTACAATAGAGAGGGTGGGGCTTGCGGGTAGAGTGAGGGGGCAGGCCCTGGGGAAGAGCTTGGGGTGGGGCTCCAGTGGCTGACACGCCCTTGCGCCCCGCCCACAGAGTCCTGCGAGCACGTGGAGTGCCCGCGGCCGCAGTCGTGCCTCGTGGACCAGACGGGCAGCGCTCACTGTGTGGTGTGTCGCGCGGCGCCCTGTCCCGTGCCCTCCAGCCCGGGCCAGGAGCTCTGCGGCAACAACAACATCACCTACATCTCCTCGTGCCACCTGCGCCAGGCCACCTGCTTCCTGGGCCGTTCAATCGGCGTGCGCCACCCGGGCAGCTGCGGAGGTGAGGTGCGGGACGAGTCTGGGACACGAGCCCCACGCAGGGCCCGCACTCACCCTCTGTTCCCCTGCACCCTGCAGGCGCCCCCGGGCGGGAGGCAGAGGAGGAGCAGCAGCAGGATGAGGCCGAGTCTGAGGAAGAGGAAGAGAACTTCGTGTGAGCTTCGGGGCCCGACCTCACGTCCCCAGTTTATTTATTACCACAGCCCCAGACTCTAATTTATGACCCACAGATGCCCCCCAGCCTGGCCTGGGACCACTTGGGGACCCAGCAGCGCCCTGATGATGTCTTGGAAAGGTTGAGGGAAGGAGGCCTGGGGAGGTCCGGAGGGTGTGGCACCCTGGGTACTGAGCCTTAGGGTAGGGGACTTTTTCCCAAAGCCCACTGATCCTGCTGCCAAGGGGCACCCCAGCTTCTGGTCCTTGGGGGTGGCTCTCACTTAGCACTGCCATCCAGAGCACAGGAAATTTCTTTCGGTCACACTGCCTCTGTGTCCCCCATATGTGCTGGGCAGGCCTTGTGTGTCCCCTTGGATGGCCCCCATTTGGGCCTCCTGACAGCCCTGGCTCAGCCCCCACACAGCTGGCATTCGTGTGGTTCACCTAGCAACCTCCTGTGGCCTCATACTGGGTGAGCAGCATCTGCTCAGAACCCAGCGCTGTGTCCAATGGCAGGCTACTTGGGGCACTGTGACCCCAGCTCACCCATAGGCCAGGGTAAGGTGCGGGTACTGGGAGCCCAAGTGGGGCCTGGGCCCTCTGCCAGGTACAGCACGGCCAGTGAGCCTTAGACACTGTTCCTAGCAGACCCTTCTCGCCCACCAGTCTGGCTGGGCAAGGTGACCCTAGCCAAGCAGGTGCTATTGGGGACCAGTCCCCCCAACACTGCCTGCTCTCCACTTGACTGCTATTCAAAGTCACCAAATGTGCCTTCTTGGAGACCAAAAGCTCAGACCACACATAGGACCACTCAGCAGGAAGGAAGCCCAGCTCCCCTAATCCTGGGCGAGCAGTTTGGGGGAACTCTTGCCCATCCTGCTGCAGCCCCTGGGCATGCTTTATTGGAATGCCCAGAAAAGGGTCAGGAGAGGGGTCCACAGAGTCCCCTGTGAAGGCAACTTCCTCCTTCCTGGGGTCCTGCCTCACCAAAGCAATAAAATCTGAAAAAGACACCCGTGTGTGTCCAGGCCTCTGTGTGCCCCTTTGCCCTGGGCTGAGTGCTGGATTCTCAGGCTAGAGAGCAACCAGCCTGGGGCCTGTACATAGGTATACAGTGACTCAGGTAGGTGTCCCTGGGCTCAGGGGACAGGCTGCTGCAGGTGGGGGGAAGAGGACAGGGAAGAGGAAGGGCCTTTATGGGGTGGGGAGGGAAGGGAGACAGGATGGCCCAGAGCAACCCTAAGACACCAGCTTGTCTGGGTTCCAAAACGAAAGTCTGACCCGGGCATGGTGGTGCATACCTGTAATTCCTGCACTTTGGGAGGCTGAGTCAGGAGGGACCCAAGTTGGAGCCCAGCCTGGGCAATTTAATGATTTAGCAAGACCTTGTCTCTAAAGAAAAATTAATGGTAATAATAATGATGTGATGGCCCCTCGAGATGACACTGGCTAAGAGTATGGATTTCAGAGGATGCCGAGAGGTATGAGGGGTCCTGGAGCCCACCGGGTAAAAGTGTCACAGCTTCCGGTGAGCCAGCCGACGTGTGACTGGTTGGATTTGGCTCTCCATTGGGAGCGGCTCCAGAAACCAGGCCCCTGGCTCAGGGCCTGGCTGTGGCATCCCAACCCCAACTAACAGACAACTTCACAGTCACTTGTGTGCCATGGGGCTGTGGTCAGACACGAAGGCAGACAGCTGCGTGTACACATCCGGGGCCCTAGGGTTCCCACAGAGACCGGAGAAAGAAACAAGGGGTTTCTGCACAGCAGGGGCCCCCCCAGAGTCTGCCTGGAGTGAGGGGAGAGGTGAGGTCAGGGGCCACTTTCTGAGTCTGTTTCCCTATAGGAACTTCTACCGGTAGATGTGCACCCTCTGTCTCAAAGGTTCCCTACTGCTCTTAAATCGAAAACTTACTTCTGTCTGCCGTTAAGGACCTGAGGCTCCTACCCACACCCTCCTCTCTACCCTGCTACCCTGCCTGCCGGCGAACTCACTAGGCTCTAGCCACACTGATTGCCGACTATACCTGCCTTTTCTTGTCCTGGATACCTGGTACTGCCCTCTACTGGACAGCACTTGTATAAATATACAAGTCTGTGGTCTGTGCAGTGTGTGACCTACACAACTGAACAGGGCAGCCCTCTGTGACCCACATCAGCTCCTCACTCTTGCTGGGCCTCAGTGTCTCTAGCTGGTCAAGCTCTAGTGAGGCTCAAATTCCAGACCATCCCTACTCAAATCCTACCCCCTCTGTGGGCCTGTTTTCTCATACCATAAACGGGTGGGGAGAGTGTTTTAGCAAGCAGAAATCCCACCTCCGGTAGTCCTGGCTCTGGGTGCAGAGCATGACCAGGCTCAGCCAGCCACCTGGCACTGCATCCCAGCCACAGGGGCCCTGGCCTCCTCTATGGCCTTAGTAGTCCCAGGGCTAGGCCCAGGGCAGCAGAACCATGCAGCTGTGGGACAATGCTTAGGTCTAAATGTTGAACCCTGGGCTTTTGCACTGAGCTACATCCCCAGCCCTTTTTATTTTTTATTCTGAGTCCAAGTCTTGCTAAGTTGCTTGGGCTGGACTTGAACTTGTGATACTCCTGCCTCAGCCTCCTGAGTGCTGGGATTATAGGTGTTTGCCACCATGCCCAGCCATGTTTTCTCCATCAACATAAAAATAGACATCCAGGCCAGGAATGGTGCTGTCCACTTGTCATTCCAGTACCCTAGGAGGCTGAGGCAGGAGGATCCCAAGTTGCGAAGCGACGACAAAACCCACCTGCCAGACTGTGGGCTGTGGGCAGCCCCGAGCTCACCTGAAGCAGGCAGGTGTCATTGGCATGGGTCACCGGCTGGTAGTCTGGGTGTGTGATGATGGCTGTAATGCTGAACACCTGCTCTGCGGGCCCCTGTGTGTGCAGGGCCTGGGACCCCGGGACCAGCAGGCCTCTTCCAGCGTCCCTGGGAACAAAGGGATGGCACTGGATGAGGGGCGCCTGCCCTCTGCCTCAGTCCCCTCTGTATAGCCAGGAGCTCAGCGACACCTTCAGTGCTCACGCCAGCCCTGACACGACCTTCCCACTTCAATTACAGCAAAACTCCAACCGTGGCAATATTAATTTGAATCATAAAAACGTGCTTACAGTGCACACGATGCTGAATTTGATACTGTCCTACCTCCACGATTACTGCCATTACAGCAACAATATTAATTTTCTTTTTATTCACAGCACACTGGGAATGGAACCCTGGGGTGTGCTACGACTGAGCTGCATCCCCCACATTTTTTATTTTTCATTTCCAGACCGTGTCCCACCAAGTTGCTAAGTTGCCCAGGTCTGGGCTCCAACTTGGGATCCTCCTGCCTCAGCCTCCCTACTAGCTGGGATGACAGGTGCACTCCACTGCATGGGTACAATAATAATAGCAAGAATAATACACCCCAAATGATAATAACTACAGCATTTAATTAACATCCCAGCTTTAGCCCATGCTCACATCTGGGATGTGCCCTTTCTGGATTCCGTGGAAAACCTGCTTGAGTCTCCAGGCCAGGAAGGGGTCTGCCCAGCCCACCCCTGTCCCCCCATGGCATCTCTCACCCGCCCTGGCCCCAAGCCATAGGGCTGTGCCCCAGCACACAGACACCATGTAGGGTGGGAGTGAGGGGTCACCTCGTGGCTCCAGTGATCTGGGCTCCCAGGGGCCTGTGGAGGAGGTGGCTGTATGAGAGATCAGATCAATGGGGTCAGCTCCGTATGGACAGGGGTGCAGGCAGGAAGGGGGTCCAGGCCTCAGGACGCGTGGCTCCTGGGGCCCAGGCTCATTGGGCGCTGGACGGGATCCCGAGTCTGGGAACCTGGGGCACCTTGGGGAGTTGGGGTCCTCACCCCGCGGTGGGCAACATGAAGACAGAGGCAGCGACGAAGAGCCCCCACCCACCACCCCCGGTACACGGAGGCTGCAGCCCCAGCATCAGTCAATGGCAGCTGGCACAGGGCCTGCAGTCGGTGTGGGGACCCAGGTGGGGACGGGGGCCCTGCCAGCCATGCCCTGCACCCCACTGGGAGCTTGGGTGACGCCGCTTTCTGGTAACACTGGTGGCAGTCATGGCGTAGGAGACTTGAGAAGGAAGACAGTGGGGGTGTTGCTGGGGATTCTGGAGCCACTGTGACTTCTGGGAGTCACTTCATTTCCCCGCCTCAGTTTACCCCAGCACGTGCCCACCCAAATGTGCTTCCATAGGGAGCTTTCTCCAGGGCATGGCTGAGGCCACGCCAAGCAAGGGCTACTGGGGTGAACCACGGGCTGGGTCTCTCCCCGGATGGGCGGCCTCTCCTGTGCTACACAGCACCTTGCTGTCCCCAGTGCAGGGTGGAGAGAGCGGAAAAGCTCTGCGGACACAGCAAGTTGCTGCGAGGGTAGGCACAAGGCCCTTGCTATGGCCCTACACTGTTGCTTGGTTTCTTTTTTCTCTTCTTCTTTTTTTGGTGCTGGGGATCGAACTCGGGACCTCGCGCTTGCGAGGCGGGCAGCAGAACCACTGAGCTAAATCCCTGACTCTTTTCTTTGCATGAGACAGGATCTCCTATGTAGTTAGTTCAGGCTGGGCTTGAACTCACTGTGTATCCCAGGCTGGACTTGAACTTGTGATCCTCCTGCTTCAGCCTCCCCAGGGCTGGGATGACAGGCGTGCGCCACCACGACCAGCTTTCCCAGTTTCAATCGACCCAAGCAAAGCTACTGACCTGGCAAAGCCACCTGGATGCCCGGCGGTCCTGTGCGTCCCAGTGGTTCCTATTGTCATCAGGGTGGCCAGAAAGCAGATCCTGCCGGCATAACTCAGAGGAAGAGGCCGCTGGATTCCTGCTGGATCCCTCTAGTGAGATGGAGCCGAGTAGGGAAGGAGGCTGTGGGTCCAAGTGTGTGGAATCAGGCCTGGGGACCAGGGGGTGGGAGGCTGGGGACAGGCGCTGCTGCTGGAGCAACCAGGACCTGCAGCCTACCTCTCAGGCAGCCTGACTGTCAGTCACCCGGCCACCATGCTGCATGAGCGTCAGCTGCGGTACAGACCCGGGACCCGTCCTGCCCAGCCGTGGAGCCCGATTACGACTCCACATGGATCTGTGACTGGTGGCTTCTGTCTGCTCAGGTCCGTGGGGGTGTCTGGCACAGCTGTGTCCCCAGCGCTTGGACTGTGACTGTCGAGTTTGTACGATGCATCGTCAGCTCTTCAGCCCCATGGGACCCTGGCCTGGCTTTGCTTCCATGGCAGAGGTGAAACCTCCCTCAGCCACAGTTTCTGTGGGCTCTGACAAAGGTGTCACTTTACACAACAGCTGTGGGAGAAGCCAAGTACCTAAAGACGACAGCATGCTTCCATCCGTGAGTTAGGGCCAGGAGCCAGGCACAGAGAGGTTAAGCACCTCAGCCAAGGTCACACAGCACGGAGCTGAGGGCCAAGTCTACTGCTTCAGTGCAGTTTCTGTTGCCTCTCAGCTGATGCTACCCAGAGCTTCATTTTCTTCCCGTTCAAAGAGCGGTTGTGACACATGTAACGATCACTGCTGATTCCTGATTCCAATCGCCGACCTCCTGAGCCCTGGGGGCAGGCTGGGTGGGGGGTCAGGGCCTCTACTTTCCAATCTGAGGCCCACATGCCACATATGGGGGCACACACTTGTTATCGCAGCACTCAGGAGGCTGAGGCGGGAGGATCACTTTAAATTCAAGGCCAGCCTGGGCTACACAGTGAGTTCAAGGCCAGCCTGAAGTAGAGTGAGACCCTGACTAAAAAAAATCAAGAAACACCAAAATAAAATAAAAAAGGTAATATGAACACAAAATATAAGTGGCAAGTGTGAGAATTGAGTGAGAGAAGCTTGATCAGATGGGCAAGAGGCATGGGGACGGGCGGGATTCTAAAATGGGACCCAGGGCTGGGGATTTAGCTCAGTGGTTCTGCAGCCTGCTTTGCAAGCACGAGGTCCCGAGTTTGATCCCAGGCACCAAAAAAAGACTAAAATGGGACCTAAAGGGACCCAAGACAGAGGAGAGGTGCGGAAGGTCCAGCAGAGGATCGGGTGGGGTGCAGGGCTCGGCCTGCAAATTTGGGCTGAGAATGCTGGGGAGCCATGGAGAGCCCTTGAGCAGGGGCAGGCAGGTGGATCCTGTGGTGAGACGGGGAGGAGGCTGGAGCCAGGAGGCCATAGGCCTGAGTGTCTGGAATCTGGCCTGGGAGGAGGCAGGAGGGTCTCGGAGCGGGCTGGAGAGGAGGGCCCAATGTCTCCTGGGAAAGGAAAAGTTCATGAGGGCCGCCACACCTGCATCAGGGCATCTGCACCGTGAATGTGCAACTGGGAATCTGGGGAGGCCTCCGGCTTCTGCTCGGAGCAAGTGGGAGCCCCTGGAGGTTTAGGCTGGGGGAAGAGGGAGAAACGCTCCCAGGGACCCACTTTTCCCCTTCCCCACGGCCTCCCATACTTCCTCCTCAGTTTTGCTTTGTTTTGTGGATTTGTTCCTGTTCTTTTGAGGCAGGGTCTTGCTATATAAGCCAAGCTGGCCTTGAACTTGAAAACTTCCTGCCTGGAGCTTCTGAGTAACTGAGATTATTGCCTGGCTGTGTGTAAGGTACTAGGGATGGAATCCAGGGCCTTTGCACGGAGCTACATCCCCAAACTTTGTTTTAATTTATTTTTATTTTAAAAATTTTGGTACCTGGAATTGAACCCATTGCCTTGTGCTTGCCTGGCAGGTGCTGTGCCACTGAGCTGTTTTTTATTTTGAGATAGGGTCTCACTAAGTTGCTGAGTTGCCCAAGCAGGGCTTGAACTTGAGATCCTCATGCTGAGCCTCCCAGAGTGCTGGGATGACAGAAATACCCCAGTCACATCCAGCTTCCTCTTAAAAGAAAAAATCACCTTCATACCTTGAGCAATTGTTTTGTTTTTTTTTGAGACAGGCTCTCGCTCTGTAGTTCAGGATGGCCTTAAACTCACTGGGTAGCCCTGGCCGGCCTCGGACTTCTAGCAACCCTCCTGCCTCAGCTTGCTGAGTGCTGGGATTACAGTTGTGTGACACCACGCCCAGCGAGTAATTTTTTGTTTAAGAGAAGAAAAATTTATTGGCGAATAGGAATGGGCAATAAGGACAGCACCTGGGAGTCAGGAAGGGAACCACATGGGTTGCCAATGAGCCAATTTCTCATTGGCATTCACAAGTTTTATAGAGCAAAGTCATGAGGGGCAGGTGTAATGTGGGTAAAAGCTATCATCAACCGGGCCGGGGATTTAGTTCAGTTGTTCTGCCACCTGACTCAAAAGCACAAGGACCTGAGTTCCATCCCCGGTACCAAAAAAAACCCCCAAAAACAAAAACTATAATCAACCAATAAGATTACAAGTACAGTTGCTTAGGTAATATTGACCCAAGTCCAAGGGTATACAGATGACTTCATTAACTTTGGTAGATAATCTTTTTCTTTTTTGAGAGAGAGGGTCTCACTATGTAGGTGAGACTGATCTGGAGCTCACTATGTAGCCCAGGCTGGTCTCCAACTCACAGTGATCCTCCTGCCTCAGCCTCCCAAGATAATCTGTAGTTTTAAGTCTTAAATCTTTTTAGTCTTGGTGGGTGGGAAAGGACAGCCCAGCCCCAGTGAGCTAATGGTCAATCTATACAGGAAAGCCCAAGAGGGTGTGGTACCAATAATCCCTTGAGTAATTTTTTAGGACATAAAACATCCAGTCTTTCCAAAGATAGGAATTTTGAGTCCCCTTTGCATAACCACATAATAGATGCTCAATAAATCTCTTTGGCCTAAAAAGACACAGAAGCCCAGGGACAGTGAAGAAATTACCTATGGGTCATTTGAAGTGACTGCCTAGCACAGGGGACAGAAAGCCAGTAGCCTGGGGTTAAATCTGGCCCACCATGTGCTTTGTAAATAAAGTTTTATTAACACACAGTCATGCCTATGCATTTATGTGCTGCCTCTGGCTACTTCAGGACTATAAATGCTAGAACAGAGTCTTCTCAGAGAGACTGGCCAGCAATGCCAAAAATATTTATTAATCTGGCCCTTTGCAAAATATGTTTGGTCAAAGCCAGAGCTGGTGTGTGCCAGGAGGCTGTTGTAAGATGTTTAAAGTATTTGCTCACTTAACCTACCAGCAACTTGAATGGGAGGCCCAGGGAGGTTAAGAACAGACCCAGTGTCACGCCGCACACAGAGAGACCGGCTATGATTAACATCCAGGGCCCTGATGCTTCTCTGGATTTCTCTCTCTAAAGTTGCTAACTCATCTCACCGTCTTAAGTGCTATAACGAATGCACATTCATTCTCAAAAGAGAGGAAGTGCACAGGTCTGTGAGGACAAGCAGTTGTGGCCCTCCCCAGTCTGGCGTACATCCGGCTAGTTTTCTCCAACTGCTCATCCAGCCAAATAGTTACCTTTATTTTAAAAAATTTGATTCATCGACTGGTAGTACAGGGTCTTCCCGATGATTACATCCCCAACCAGTTGTTTTTTGTTTTTTTTTTTTAATTTTGAGACAGGCTCCCCATGAGGTGCCCAGGCTGGGCTCACAGGTGCCACCCTCCTGCCTTAGCCCAAGTGCTGGGATGACAGGCATGTACCGCCCCACCTAGCTAAAGCTATTTTCCTTTAAACACTCACCCACCCATTTATCAAGCACACTGCGGAGCAGTGCCATTTTAATAGGCAAATGCGAATTTTGGAAGCTCACACTATCAACCCACCCCAGGTCCCAGAGAGTACGTGTGTTTAGGACAGGGGGCTGCAGCATCTGGGGAAGAACCCAGAGCCACGTGTAGTGGAGCACACCTGTGATCCTAGCACTCAGGAGGCGGAGGCAGGAGGATCGCTGTGAGTTCAAGGCTGTCCTGAACTATATAGGGAGACCCTGTCAAAATAATGATGCTGATGATGATGACGACAAAAAAAGAACTTTGGAGATTAGGGTGATGTTCTACATGATCAGGCCTTTCTGTCCTGCTGGGACTCCTCAGTGCCCTTGGGGGAGGAAGCCCGAGTCCGCTGGGCCCAGCCCCTCTCCCAGAGTGGCCGCGCTCACTCTGCAGCGTGGAGCAGATCGACATCAACGCAGGAGCCCACGTGCGGCCTCAGCCGGGCCCCGGGCTGTCGCGC